AAACGAAGAATCATTCTCTGCTCCTACACTGCTCTGAAATGGGAAGTACCTGCAGGAGAAATGGCCAGAAGGGGAATGTGGTGTGACAGCCCAGTGCCAGCAGCTGCCACTGCCACCCTCCACGTCTGGTTTGGAGGCACAAGCCTCCGTGCCCAGGGCTCCAGAGCAGCCAGGCTGGGGCTGAGCTGGCCCTGGTGCCTGGAGCAGCCAGGCCAGCACAGGCACAGCTCAGCTCAGCCCTGCTGCCTGGCAGAGGGCACTGAGCCAAACGAGCTGCCTGCCCTTTGCCTCCCTGACAAATGCAGTCAGATTGCTCTTTTAACATTTGGATGTTTGCAGAGCTCTGCTTTTCCTCTCAGGGTTCTGTGGGATTGGCAGGGCACCTGCCCTTGTCTAGGTTACATCTCGGTGCACTTGTCTTTGCAGGGTAACATAGAGTATTTACTTCTTTTCCCATTTCTTTAGTTTAAGACAGAGATGGAAATCAGTGACTTGTTTAATGGGTTGAAAAATCTCCACTGCTACTCTGACAGTGGACTGCTGCGTGCCTTGTGTTGTTTTGTTTCAAGTTAGGGCATTTTCCCTGAAACATAATTTTCTTCATCATGGAATGCAGTATGAGGTAGATGTTGCACTTTAGAGACATATACCTGGTTACAAAACATTCATTTTTTCACCTCACTGTTTCCATTTTTCCTGGAATTGTCCCTTATGTATTCATTAGAGAGAGAAAGGATCAGTGTGGCACAGATTTGGAATAAGATTCACACCAGGAGATGTGAAAAGACAATATTGAAATACAGAATGGAATTCTTTTCACATATGGGCGAGAAATACTCTGAAGACACAGTATCTGTTTTTGATTTCCACAAATAGTTTTCTTCCTCTTACATTTCCATTCTGAAATTACATTTTGGTAGAAAAACCTTGTATTTTTTTCTTTTTCTAGTGAAATGGCATGTACAGTAAACTGCTGCCTTAAACTGTAATGACTTGCTCAGGACTCCTTGCTGGTAGCTCATGAACCACAAATACATCCCGAGATGAACAATTTGAACAAAAAGCAGCACATCATTTCCTTGAGCTCAGACTTTGATTGGCGAGGGTCTGTGTCTGCGTTTGCTCCCCAAGAACATTTCAGTGCCTGACCTGGACACAGCAAGCAGGCAGGGCAGTGTGGGGGTGATTTATTGCAGTATGGCTTTCTTCTGCCCGAAGCCAAGTTTGATGCACATATTCTAGCTCATCATGAGTTCTATCAAGTGAGGAAACAGACCCAACAATGAGTAAATATTTTCTGGCTGGCACTATGTATAACCTACTGCAGTATTCCATTTTTGTAAGTCTTCAGTATTCTTGCAGTTAATTACAGTTACTTGACTCATACAACTAAAAATTACATGGGATGGCAAACGGTGAACATTGGTGACAAGATTTCAGCAGTCTGAATACCACAGTTACTCTGAAGGAGTTAATAAATGTCACTGTCTCAGTCAGTTCCAGAACAAGACCTGACATAAACCCTACGGAAATTATTGGAAGTCTTCCAACAAATTGACTCCATTAGGCTTCAAATTGGAGGGTTTATCTACTAAAATGGGATGGTATTCAGTTGTTTCTGTTGTTTGCAGCATACTATTAACTATAATATTTTTATCTTTGAATAATATCAATGATCATATTTCTCCAAAATATCTGTAGCCTTCTGGTGAGAGAAATCTTTCAATCCTGAAACTTCCTGTCCTGTAAACAATTAGTACCAAATTGTGACAGCCTGATGGGAACTTGTATTTTTCTGCTTCACCATTCTCTGTTTAGCTGGGAGACAAATGAGACAAGAAAATTAAATTATTAAAGATGTGAGACAGCCAAAACAGCTCAGATTTTCAGATCATAAATTTTAAGGTGTATAGACATACTAATATATACCTATGTGCATACAGACATCTCTAAAGAGTGGCAGGCTTGCATCTGGCTCAGAATTTGACTTATAGCTGGGAAACAGGAGTTCAAGTGAAACAGACAACGAGGGTTACATTAACTCAATAAAAATATAGGGCCTAACTCAAAAAATCCAGCATATTTTAACAGAAGTCAAGTGATTTTCTCATTTCTCTGGCCAGCTTCTATCAAGTTCATTACTCTCTCTTGATTAAATCTTTTTGAATTATTTCTGCCTGAATGAGAAGCAGAGAAATGGTAGTGACCAGTCACTCCTTAGACAGACTGACAGTGATGTCTATGACTCATTTCTGTTCAGCTGGATCTAACTCTTTAATGCTTCTTAACTGCAAGGAAAAGGGCTCCATCAGCCACAAATATCCTAAGGGTGTAAATTCCGAGGGAAACTTCTTCTATGTTATAGCTGGCAGTAATTAGAAGATGGAAAAAATTGTTGCAAGTTTATCAGGAATACGTGTAAAAGTGAAAAAAGGGAGCCAGTGTAATAATACTAAACATTTAAGTTGTTACAGCCCATTTGTCTCACAGAATTTATGTATCTAGAGGAGAACAAAAGGCAACTTTGCCTCTTTGGTGTTTTTCACTAATTGGAGTCTAGGAACAGCTTGGTCTCACCTGAAAACGAGTGATGGGCACTTTCTGGCCTGAGTAGGGTGAATTACATTATCCTAGTCGTGAGCAACAGGTACACAAGCTGCTGTGATCAATCCAACTTCCAGTCCAAGTCACAGGCAAATTTTCATTTTATGCAGAGGATTCTGCTCTATTCCAGCCCCAGGACTGGCGTGGTGCCCGTGCCTGTACCTGGCCCTGCCCGTGGCTCATCTCTGCAGGTTCAGGTGCCACTGCTGCAGTGCTGACAGTGGGTTTGGGTGCTGTGTGTCTGCCTCAGCACCACAGGACCAGGGGGATTCACCCTGCTCCAGGCAGCCGTCCTTGGGAGAGAGGGAAGGGAAGCAGCTCCTTGGGTAAAGCTGTGCTTGCAGTAAACAGATCCTGCTGCCCTTCCCTCAGTTTGGCCTTCAGATAGGAGGGAGGGAAATTATTCCTTTCTCCCCAGCCACCTTTCCTTTCTTATTTTTCTCTTTTATCTACTTTTCCTCATGAGGCTGATCATAAATGTTGTCTTTTCTGACAGAGAATTGGGCTGCTCTGGGCAAGATAACAAACACATGCTCTTTCTGCCACTTTCCTTATATAAAATAACTTTTCTTATTCTGTTTGCTTTGCTGCCAGTTCTTATCTGGAATTTGGATCACAAACTAGGACTGTCTTTCTCCAGGACCACTAAATAATATAATGTCTGGTAAATGGTGAGGATTTCTTTTTTTTTGTTTGTTTGTTTTTGGAATTTTATGATATTTCAGAATAGATTTGGTAACTATTCATATCCCATAGAAAAGAAACAAAAGCCCTTTATCTTCTTCATTTCTGGCTGCTGTTAATTGGCTTTTTCTGGTAATACTGGTGTGGGTCAAGGTCTGACCTGAAGTTTACTGCTGTTAGTACCAAAACTTTTGCTGTCATCAAGAGTGTTATTTGTATTTATAATAATAATAATGAATAGCAAGTAAACACTACACACAAAACTGCTCAAGAGAATACTTTTCACAGATTAGGGCAGGGTTTACTGTTCTGTCTTTAAATCTCCTGGAATCTTCAATTGCTTAAGAGGAGTGAATTAATTTTTCTACCAAGATGTACCAGGGTTTCCTGCATGTGTCTTCCAGTGGATCCATCAGGACTCTCCTGACCTGTGCTTGCTGTGGTGCTTGGCTCCTGGAGCCCTGGGACCGAGTTCCTGCTGGCTGAGGTGTGCTGAGGACAGCAGGACAGCAGGACAGCAGGACATGGGGTCTGGGGGCAGTGTTGTTTGTTTTTGGAATTTTATGATATTTCAGAATAGATTTGGTAACTATTCATATCCCATAGAAAAGAAACAAAAGCCCTTTATCTTCTTCATTTCTGGCTGCTGTTAATTGGCTTTTTCTGGTAATACTGGTGTGGGTCAAGGTCTGACCTGAAGTTTACTGCTGTTAGTACCAAAACTTTTGCTGTCATCAAGAGTGTTATTTGTATTTATAATAATAATAATGAATAGCAAGTAAACACTACACACAAAACTGCTCAAGAGAATACTTTTCACAGATTAGGGCAGGGTTTACTGTTCTGTCTTTAAATCTCCTGGAATCTTCAATTGCTTAAGAGGAGTGAATTAATTTTTCTACCAAGATGTACCAGGGTTTCCTGCATGTGTCTTCCAGTGGATCCATCAGGACTCTCCTGACCTGTGCTTGCTGTGGTGCTTGGCTCCTGGAGCCCTGGGACCGAGTTCCTGCTGGCTGAGGTGTGCTGAGGACAGCAGGACAGCAGGACAGCAGGACATGGGGTCTGGGGGCAGTGAGCCCAGCCAGGGCAATTGCAGCTGCTCCTGTGGGAGCTGTGCCAGAGGAGCCCTCAGCGAGGGCCTCTTTGCCTCTCGAGAATGCCAATGGAATTATTCATAAGAAAATCCATTTTAAGTGCTGCTTCCAGTTTGGGTTTCCATGGAGACTGCTGACCTTGTAGAACAAGGCAGGCTGGGGAAGCAGCCCCCATCTGGGGATGGGCTGTGCTGGGGTGGAAACACAGCAGATCACAGCTGGGCCTGGCTGAGGCAGGCTTTATCCAGATGTGAAGAATTTCGGGATCAATTGTTTCCTTCTTCAGACAAATCCTTGATTTGCTGCACCCTTGCAGGTTGTGAGGCAGCAGAGAAGCAAAGTTGGAGAGCAGTGGCAAGAAGTGTTCCAGCAAAGCCTCGAGTCAAGGGTGGGCAACAGAGCCTGGCCAATTCCCACAGCACTCTGCTGGCCTGGAGTGCTAAAGGGTGAAATAACCTTAATTATTGATTCACCTGCCTGTGCCTGTGCCCACTGCATGGTGCTGAGAGCAGAGAAATGGGTTCACTTGGGGGGCAAATAATAATAATTATTACTCATTGTTAGAAATTCATAGCAGCTACTTCGTTTGTGCCCTTGTTCTGTGTGTAGGGGAGAAACGCCTTCTGCAGGAACTGGCATCCCAAGAGCCCCAGAATCCCTCTCATGCCAAGAGCACAGAAGTAAATAAGGCAGCCAGAGGGGGAGTTCAGCCAGCAGCTGCCACTGCAAACACGCAGCCAGCCCAGAAGGAAGCAGGAGGCTCTGAGAACACGAGCCACAAAGCAGAGGCCAGGTAAGGCCAGGTAAGAGCCCTCAGGAGGGCTGGGGTTGGTTTCAGCTGCTGCAAAGTCAGCCAGAGACAGCCCCAGGTGGCCCCAGCCCTGTAATTTAATTGATGCTAATTCACTGCACTTCAGGATCTCCTTCACAGTGTCTGGAGAGGATGTTTGAGAAGAACTCTTGGCCAAGGATGGATTTCTGTACGTGAGTGTTTACAAATAAGCTGCTTACCCCCCGGGCTTTAGAGACAGCCACAAATTCTGTTTTTCACAGAACCTCAGTGCCCGGAGCCCATGTTACAGGGGAAAAGGAAAATGCAGCTTGCAGAAAGGGACATTTACAGTATCTGAGGTAAGTTCTGGCAAGACCAAGTTAGGAAGGCCTGAGGAGTTAAATGAACTGAAAAGGTATTTATGGGAAGGGAAGTAATCAGCTTAACAGAATGAAGAGGGGAGCAAGACCTGTGGACAGATTTGATTGCCAGGAACAGAGCCCAGCTGCCTTTCACATCCCAGACAAACACAGTTTGCCTTGCAATTGCTTTCATTTTATAAAAGCCACCATCTGTAGAGAGAGGAAGCAGAAGGTCGAAGTGGAGGTAACATAACCTCTTCCCTATGCCAGTCCCAAAATTTAATCCTGCAAAAGCAGCAACCTGTAGACCATGTAGGAGGCAATTGCCTGTATTTTGTGACATCTGTTCTAGTTTCACTTGAATAGATAATGCCAGACAGGTGAAACAGAGAAGTTAGAGGAATGACTACAGAAGTGCAGAAAAATAAAAATGTTCTTAAAGGATTGTGGGAGGCACCTAGTGGTACTGATGCACTTAAAGAATGTTAATTGCCAAGTAGATAACTGGAATTTGAGAGTTTGAAATGTGCTTATTTTTAAAGGTCGTGGAAGGTCAGCTCTAAGTTCTTCCTTTCTCACTGGGAAGGTGCAATGTCTCACAAATTATAGTACACAGAAAGAAAGCAGAGTTGAGCTGTTTTGTGCTTCCCAGTGTGCATTTTTTGTGGTGTCATTACCGAGGCTGTTATCTGAAAAAATAGCTCTATTAAATGAACAGCTCTGATATGGAGGAAGACGATTATCTCTCTCCTTGTTAAATTACTGCACTGATGCACAGCCAGAAGGGACTGTGTTTTCCTTGCAGTTAGATGTTCACAGGACCAAACATTTTCCTAATGAGCAGACATTATTAAAGGTTGCTGTGCACAAGGTTGTGTTGTTGGTCATGATGAGCTGTGCCTAAGGTGGGAGCTGCAGGGAGGTGTTTGAGGGAGGCTGCAGGCACATGTGAGCTCTGCAGATGCATTCCAGGTGGGGAACCTTGCAGAGCTGCTGCTCTCAGTGCTGGAAGCAGGACCAAAGCCTTGTCCTTGCCTCAGGCTTTGCTAGAGCTGCCTTAGGCAAGGCTCTCCTGCCGTGCCAGCACCAGTGGGCACCTGGTGACACCTCTGAGCTCTGCCATCAGCCCCCGAGCAGGGCTGGGACTGCAGGCTCCCCCTGGGCTGCCCACTCCTGCCCTGGCTCCAGGCTGATGGCAGGCTGGAAACAACTGTGATTTCAGGAGCTTGTTTGGTTTGAACTGCTGTGGATTCAAAGAGAAATTATTCACACAAGTGGCTTTTTTGAAGTCATGGCACAACTATTACCCTTTCTGTCCACTGAAATGCTCCTAAATGTCTCCCCTGATTTTTGTTTTATTCTGCATTTTCCTCCAGAATATGATGAGCATGAACTAAAGCTAGGGTTTTGCAATGGCAGAGTTGCTAACTGTGCTGCAGTTTTGGTGTGGTTTGGTGTGTGTGTGCGTGTTTTGGTTTGGGTTTTTTTTTTGGTCTTGAACTGTTTCATGTTTTATTCTCTGTTTGTGAGTAGATATCAGCAAAAGCTTAGCTTGGAGGATGCTTCAAGGAGCACATTCAGTGCCCAAGCAAGCCTGATTTTATTCCGTAACAACGGAAAATCACAGGGACAAGAGAAAGTCACCTGTACCAAAGGCAAAACTGAAACTGAGACAGCCCAGAGCAGCTCTCTGGGAGCTGCCCTGAGCCAAGGCAGCATCCTCAGGGAAGGGGTGGTGGAGACCCAGGGGCAGAGCTCACGCATCCCCTGGACCCAGTGTGTCAGCACCTGGTGGGAATGCTGATGTCAGTGCTGCATTCGGTGCTGTAATCATCCTTGACAAGATGAAATATGGCCCCTGAATTCCAAGAACATATGGGATTACTGAGAAGGAAAATGGTGTGAACAAGGGCAATTATAGCAATAACTATCCATGACACACTGCATGGAGTCAGCCAAGCATAACACAGATATAATGAAAATATTTTTAAAGGCAAACATGATGTAAGCCAGTGCCAAAATGATCTAATTTATTATTCTGTCATGAATGATAAATGTTAATAACCTCTGTGTTTCACAAAATAGCAAGAAAGTTTTCTTTTATGTATGACTTGATTTTAAAGGAGACAAAGGGAAGAAGCTTTATTGGAAGAGGATGAAAAAGCTTTCTCATCTAAATTCTAATCTTTAATTTTTCAGCATATAATTGCTGTAGTTATTTTTTCCCACCTCACCACACCTGCACACCTATGCAGCACAGAGGAGGCAGCTGGCAGCAGTTAATCATCCCAGAAGCAGCTCTGACCTTGGGAAGGAGCTGCAGGGCTGCATCCCTGGGAGGGAGCTCAGGAGATTGAGATGTGACGTTTCTGGACTTGCATTATCATTCTCAGATAAGTGTAATAGTAATAAAGCTTTCATACAAGAAGTGTTTTTTTAAATCCCATCCCTTGTGGCCTGCTGTGGACTGAAACCACTCCCAGAGGCAGGAGTTGAGCCTGACCCTGGCTTGCACTGGGTGCAGCAGCTCTCTCTGCTGGGGAGGCTCAGTGCAGTTATTCTCTGGGTATAAAGTTGAACAGAAACATTGCCTGCACATCACAGTCGGACAGCAGCTCTCTCACAGGAGGTGTAATTGCTCTGATGGATAATTGCAGCAATAGCACTGATAGGGAACCTTCATTGTGATGCTGTTGTTTGCACTCCATGTCAAAAGAATCATTTCAACAAAGTCCTTTTAGGAAATTAAGATTTCTTATTTATTTGAGGGAGAAAAAACAACAAAACTAAATTATTTTACTAATTACTGGCAAGGTCATTCTTGCTACATTACCTATTTTTAAAACTCACATTTCATTCAATTAAGATTTCATACTGCTGACAAAATGATGCTGTCCAAAAAAAGAAATTGTAATAGCTGCTATATACAGGCCCATAAATAAACTGCAAGATTTTCAAGCTTCAAGAGGCTGAGGACAGAAAGAGATTGTTTAAAGATTCATTTGAGCATTTCTTATTCAGTACATTTGCTGCATTCAGTACCAAGAAAAACACTTTGAATCAAACAAAAAGAATGTTTATCGATGGCAATGAACACGTTTGTACTTTGTGGGGATTTCCACCAGTTTATCAAAACCAGAAGCAGCCCCATCCCAAGGCAGTGTGATAAATCCAGTGCCCCAAACCTCATGGCCATGAACAAGACAAAACTGCCAGGGTGCAGGAGGAGCCTGGATCCCCAGAGACCCCGGGAGACACAGGTGGGTGGGCAGTGCTGCCTCACAGCAAAAGTAAAACCAAACATGTTTTCATGCTTGGCTCAGTTTTGGTGAACAGTTTTAAACCAGAGCACACCTGGGTGAAAAATTGATGTAGCCCTGTGTAGCTGTGCCCTTCTGCAGTGTCACTGGTGTGTCTCTTGCTTGGGGACTTTTCCAAACAGACCTTGGGTGGTCACAAAAAGACCAATACAGCACAGGAGGAAATGCAGGTCATGAAAATTGTGCAGAGGGAAATACTTCTAAAATTAAGATTAAAAAAAAAAAAAGCTTTTATATGTTGTCTGGTTCATTCACAGAACTTTGTGCTATAATACAATGATTAGAAAATTATCAAGGAGGGTTTCAATCTATATTTGTGATCACAGTGTATAAAAACCAAAAACAAACCAAAACCGAAAGAACTCATATGGTCCAGTATAAAAAATATGCTTACATACATTTTCTGCACACAACACAAACTCTGAACACTGTTATCACAGTACTCCTCTATTCCATCTCCTCTGTACATTCCAAGGGCTCTGTCTACAGGGTCTTTTGGGGGGAAAAAATAATTTTCAGCCCAAGAAAAGCCCATATATTTGCACAGCTGTAAGACAGAGCAGTGCAGAAAAGGCTAGGAGAAAACCATATAGAAAATAAAGACACAGCCATCTACATATTCAGTTTTTACTGACCCTCTGTTTGGAGTTGGCTGTCGATGACTGGAGCTATTTACCATTAGAAACATGAGATTAAAGTGGACTTCATGCCTGTAAAGGTGTGATGTGCAGTTCTGCTCTGCTCCAGCTGCAGAAATCCAGCACAGATCTGGTGTAACTAAAATAATTTCCATGGAATCTTCTGAGCTGTAAGCTGAACAAGCTTGGGTGGACTCTGGGCTTCCAGTTTGGGGATCACACCAACAGGTCTTGGCTAGGAAGGGGAAAAGGCAGGAAAGATTGGGCCAGACTGAAAGAGATCATTTTCTTTTAGTGCAGGAAAGAAACAGGGACAAAACTTTGTTTGGATCAAACAGAAATTAAATGCATTGAGTTTTTCTAAACTTTAAATTCCATGTCTTTTGGATTAAACACATCACTAAATTTCATCATAATTGGTGGGTGTTTCCTGTTCCTAAAAATCAATTCACTTTCATTTTACTTTTTGATAAATTTACCAAGCAATAGAAAGTTTCCACTCTGCACATTAGAGTGTAAATACCTTTTCTCTTGGAAACAAATAGCACATTCACTGGGACCAGGAATGGTCTGAGCTGCTGGGGAATGAATCGTGGATGCTGAGCAAGTCCCAGAGCGAGCCCCAGGGGCTCTGGCCAGGGGTTAAACCTGGCTTGGGTGCAGTGCACAGCTGGCCCTGCTCGTGCTCCAAACTCCACTCTCAGAGCCTACAAAACACTGCAAGAAGAAAAATCACAGTGTTTTTTCCCTCCTTAAAGATAGTTCATGGCAGTACTAAAGCAGAAGCTACTAAATGCTGAGCAGAGTCTAAAACCACAAAAGAGACTGCAGAGCCCTGCTTAAAAGCTGTCTGCAGGAAACAATACACAGAGTTATTTGCAGGCTGGCTGTCTTCACAGTATATCAGTGTGTTACATCTTTGTGGCAGGAGTTCAGTGTCTCAAAATGACCAGCAAAAGGAGCAAGATAAGTCACAGCGCCAGGTCCTGCTTCCTAGAAGCCACAGGGAGTTCGCAAAATGCACTCGACAGAGAGTTGTTGATTGCACCCCCCAGCTGCAGGCAAAGCAGGGGAATAATTGGATAATTTGTAAGGCAATGTGTCAGCAGACACACAGCAGCAGCAGAGGAGCTGTGGGCTGCTCTAGGACAGCCACAGCCAGGTTACCTCTGAGGACAGCATGGCACCAGGAGGGGCTAAAATCCTGACAGGCCACAGCCAGGAGATTTACACCTTACAGGTGCTGTTTAGTGGGTTTAGCTTTGCTCACCCACTTGGGGAGTGGGGGAGCTGGAACCTGCTTCTCCCTCAAGCCTGGCTTCCTTGTAGCATTCAGATAAACACCATACCGTGTATTCGGAATCAGCTTCACTTTGATAATTCTGCAAGGTAAAAAAATGTAAACAGAGAGAGCACAGCAAGTCTGGAATAGTCTCATTACAACGTCACAATGGGAAGCATTTCATTTTAGAGCACAAAAATCCATCCTTTCAGAGGTATGTTGCTTTCCCTCAGTTCTGGGAGCTGGAATGATTCAGGGAGCAATAAGCCCTCCTTGCATACCTAGGGTTTTCATCATTGCTGACAAAATGTATCATCCAGTGTATATTTGTGCTGGTCATTTTTACAGATATTGCTAATAGCCAAGTGCTAGAATGTGTTACAGTTTTGAAGGCAAGCAACGAGGGCTATTTACTCAACAAAACACTATGGCAATTCCCAATTCATTAGGCAGCGATTTAAAATCCCAGTTTTCTACTGTTACTGGCAGTGAGGAACAGCTGGACACGGTGTGAGAGGTCCTGGATGTGTGGCTTGATTTTCTCTGAGGAGCTGCTGCTCCTGTCACACTGCAGATAAATCAATGCGGTTTGCTGAATTGCTGCTTTTGTCCCAGGTGTTCAGCTTCGTGGGAGCTGTGCCCGGCCTGTTCCCAGTCATCTGGAAAATAAAATAGTATAGAAGATCAATTTATTTATTTTGCCAAGCCACTCTTGCCTGGATGAAATAAAAGCTTGAAAGCATCTATTTACATTACATTGTCACAGGGTCCTGAGAGCATATGCCTTAAAGGATTCTCGAACAGTTATTGCCAGGATCTGAGGTGATTGGCAACGATCACTTAATAATACCTATCACTTCAGATGTCTGGCTCTTTATGAAAACAAATGTCTTCTGTCTCAAGACAATCTAAGGAGAGCTAGAAAAGGATATTCACACGTTGGCTTAAGAGTAAGAAAGCCCTACAAGAGAGCCACCATCATCAGAGCAACACACTGCCAAAATGCTGCTGGAATGCACAAGTCCATTGCAATTGGGGGAGCTGCCTTATTGAACCATATCCAGAGCTCATAAAGCTGTTTGCTTTTATTTGATGGTTTCCCAGAAAGCAGAGTTTTGTCCTTTGCTTTCAAAACAAATATTGAAGCTGCAACTTCATGCTTGCTGGTTCCACCTGCCTGCACCTTGCATTAGGCTGGTACTAAAAATACCCATGGGCCAATTCTGTTCTTTCCAACAGAATTTAATGTGGAATACTCTCAAATACAGTTAGGGGGAAAAAAGAAGCAGTACTTACAATGTCTGAATTGAAGGGCTTCACATTGATGTTGCGTGTTGAACTGCTGGTGAGGGACCAGACCTTGGTTTTGTGCTTAAAGGCAGCTCTAACCTTTGGCAAAAAACGGTGAAACCAGTTGAAAAAGTTGTGTTTATTTTCACAGGTGCAGCCTGCAATCTTTTCCCCTCTTTCCTTCCTCCACACAAATGTCACTGTGCTATTAAACAACAAACAATCCACCCCTACACTTTTTTTTGTCTTCATGGACTTTTCACTAGGACACTTTCACATTTCCTAGCCAGTAGGACCTGCTCTCCAAAAATGACAGCTCACATCAGCTGTGTGGTTTTTGATGATATAAATTCTGAAAAGTTTTGAATTTAATTTTTCATGAGGTTCCGGAAAAATAACAGCAATTCAAATATTTGTTTTTGATATAAAATATTTGAAACTTGAAGATTTCTAAGCCTGGGGGAGAATAGAATAAATATTTTTCCTCTCTGCCTTTAACCTGCCTGCTTAATTTTAGTTGATTTCAATAAAGATCAAGAGTTCCACAGTCAGACCTGACTCTCCAAACTGATTTTGGTAGAGACTACATCAGTGTAAGCTCTGGGCTGGAATAGGTTGGCAAATATTAATAAATAATAATTTCTCTGCAGAAGAGCTGGAGTGCTGCTGTTGCACAGGAAGCAGCAGCAGGTTATGGGGCAGAGCTGCTCATTAACATCCAGGAAAAAGATCTGTGGAGAGCCAAAGCTACCAGGGTCTCCGCTGAGCCTTGCCCTGGCAGTGGTTTTTGTAAAACCTGTTTCTTTCAGTAAGACTTGTTCCTGGGCATTTTCTGCTATCTGCCGTGGGAGGAGAGGATGCTGCAAGCCAAATTTACATCAGCCTTGCCTTGGCTTTATCCCAGTTGCTCTAATGCAGCCTTAATACAAAAAGATGCCTCAGTCCCCTACGAACACCTGAACTTCCTGCCAAGAAAAATACCTGGAAAATCTTCTACTCAGTATGGTTTCCCATTAAGGACTGCATGAGCAACATCCAAAAGTATGTTTGGCTGAGAATAATATTTATTTTCCTCCCTGGGGCTGCAGCTGTAACAGAGCCCCCAGCAGGGACTGCCAGAGTGCGTCCTGCTCCCACTTTTGGAGCATCTTGTCCTCTCTTCTTCTCCTGTGCCTGCTCAGCCCCCCCGGCTCTCAGGAAGGCTTCTCTCAGCTTCTCTCCTGACTCTTGACCTGCTCCTCTTATCTTGGTTCTGTGTTTCAAACATTTCTCATGCTAATTAAAACAAAAAGTCAAGCATGGGTAAAAATGCTGCAAGTCACAGAGCCAGAAGAGTCATGGATTAATTAAAAGAAAAAGGAAATCAGTGACACAGCAGGCAATGATAAAGCAGAAAGTCTCTTCTTGCTCCACACTTATGTTCTTGGAATTTGGTAACACCAGGTTTATTAACACCATTTAGTTACATACCTCTGAGTTCAGAAGACAGTGAAACAGGAACATGAAAAATCCCTGAAAACGGAAAAAAGGGAGAAGGGTGAGGTCTGGCTGTGAAAAATCAAACGTTTCCTGCTGTGTTTCTCTCAGTATGTACAGAACAGACATCAGGCAGCTGGAGCCCTATAAATATCAGAGTGCACTAAACCACAGAGTCCCAAGTGAACCTGGAGAAACCTGCAGCATTAGGTGACTGTGGGGCTTGTCTGCAACTATTCCTGTAAAATAAACCTCCTAAACTTTGCTGTACTAAAGGAAAAATCTGGCTGAAAATATGCAGAAATTCTTGTTTCATGACAAGAGAACTTTTTGGTTTTGGTTGAGGGAAATGCTCTTAGGGAAATGCCAGATCAGGATTTTTCAAGCTAGAAAAGCAAGGTATTAGCACTAGAATTTTCATGGCAGAATTTTGCTATGTTTGGGCTTTTAGTCCAATGCAAAGTGAAAATCCCTTTCCCTCACAAAATAATTTCATTTTTCTGGCAGTAGTATTCAGCACCAAGAACCCTGTTTCACTATTTTTGTATCCATAGTGCTGTTTATTTCCAAGACAAGAAAGGATTTACAGGAGATTGTTTTTCCTTCCTCTTTGTAACCACTGTTTGGGAAAGAACTGCAACATGCCTATAGGGCTATGCCTGTACTGAAATGTCTGCTTGAAGCTAAGCAGATGTTTACATTCCTCCTTGGACAGAGCTGCTTTTCTGGATTGCTGTGCCAACGAGATCAGGGTTGAGTTTCCTGCATGCAGGAGCTCTGTACAGCACAGGGAATAGCTCCACTTTTGATCTTTCCCATAAACTTCTGTTTGCTTTCATTTAGTCTCAGTAATGAAGCCTCAAATTGGCATTGAAAAATTGGCCTGGTATCTCTACTGAAGAATCCTGCCTGTGGTACACAGTGCTGCAAGAGTGAATTTCATTTCATTTCTGAAGCTCAGCACTGTCTCATTTATTTAATTATTGCTACTGGAAACTCTAAGGAGTGGGATACAAGTTCTGTTCAAACAAAAACAAGCAATTGCCAGCACTCTGGGCTTAGCACAGAATTAAAAGACAGAGGAAGGAACACAGGATAAAATGCAGCAAACATAAACATGTGAAGACATTACTAATGATCCATTTAATTGGATCTCAGAAGCACTCCTGTTGCCATAAATTTCCCCACCAGGTACTTACCTGTAGTGAGTTAAAAACAGCAAATATATACTGAAACACTAAAGCATGGGCATTGACAGCCAAAACACCAAAGATCCACGAGCTCCCCAAGATCGGTAAGAGAACAGCCACAGCTTTAGCTGTTAGTCTGTAGGAGAAAATGGAAATACGGAATTGTGGTGAGACCATTAAAGGAATGTCAGCCTCCACACCAAGGAGTTTGTCAATTATGATCTGGCAGCAAGGCAGCTGGTAGAACTTTGCGTTACTATAAAATTCTTTTAATGTGAAAGATATTAATTATTTTTTCATCTGTGGAAATGGGGATAACAGAACATTGGTATCACACAGGGTAAATACAGATGGTGAGTCAGGAACTGAGGGAGCAGGGAAACAGGTCTGAGAGATGGTCACAAAAACACTGCAGTCATGTCCTCAGCGTCCAGGGCAGTTTGTGAGTGGGCAGCCAAGGGCAGGAGCCAAAGAGCGCTGCACCACAGGGCACAGCAGGGGCAGCCCACACACTCAGTCTGTGATCCTCTCCGTGAGCACCCAGAGAACTGCTCAGGCCAGGGCAAACCCTTCCTGCCACCGAGGCACTGCTGCCTGGAGCCAGCAGCAATTCCGAGCAGGAGCAGGTGAACCGTGGCACACCCAGGCAGTTTTCAGTGCCAGCTCTCCAAGGACAAACTCCTCCTCCCGGCCAGCTCAGAGCAGTTTTAGCAGGAAAAGCACGAAAAGGGACCAGTCCCCCTCTGGAGCACGTGCCAGGAAGGCAGATTAATCCAAATTTCCAGCACTACAAACATTTAGTGAGCTCCTGTTGCAGCCCATGGGATTCATACAGATTTATCAAATTAAGTGTTTAAAACATCAGTTAATTCAGTCTATGGTACAATTACAGATAGAGAAGCCATGGGGCAGAAAAGAAACAGGGGAAGTGAGAAACTAAAATTCAGTCCCTGCTTGCTGAAACCATGTTTTTTAGAAATGATCTGATTTCTATTTAGATGGGAACCTATGCAAGGGAAAAAGCTGTTTCAGGGAGATTAATGTCCTGCTTGTGCCTTGTGCCCCCTCGTACAGATTAAAGCCCACATCGAGAGAAATGCACAGAGCTGCCTGACAGGAGACTGCTTGTAATTACAGCAAACACAAAACAAATGATAATTTTGTACAACACAATTCAATGAAGAAATCTTTTAATTAAACTTAGAGACAAGATGTCTTGTTCATTTCCGTGACCTGAGCACACACTTCATTATATCCTCAAATAAAAGTGTGTCATGAAGTTTATAGGGAAATCTCAGATAGAGAAGCATCTAGATTTTTTTTTCTGTTCTGATTTGGGTTTTTTTCTGTATTGATTCATATCTCTGTATGCTCAGCCATTAATATTTCGGCACAATTCAATCTTCAAGGAATTTTTTCAGTCAGAAAATGAAGGAATATCTTAAAGCTGGAGGTCCTATTTAAATTTTAAAATGCATTTTAAAAGATACCATTTTTAAACAACTTATAAAAGTTTATTTTTGCGAATCAAAGATGCTTTGGGGGTTTCTTTCTCTGATAGGATTAAAGATCCTCCTCAAACTCTAAGATAAAATATGCTGCACTGGGGAGCTGCCAGCAGAACAGCTCTTGCCATGGACTTTGTGCAGGAAGAGCTGTGGAATGGCACTGAGCACTCAGGAAAATGCAGTGTGCAGGACCAGGAGCTGGGCAGGCCAGGGAACACCTGGGGATGGACCAGGGACACCCAGAGCCTGAGAGAGCTCAGGGGTCCCAACACCCAGGGATGGACCAGGGACACCCAGACCAGGGAGGGTTCAGGGTTTAACCCTCTGCAGCCTGAACCAGCAGGGGTTGGTGCACCCAGTTTTACACAGCTCCACTTGTAAAACTGCCTCCACCACAAACCACCTCGTTTTCTTTTTCTCTTTTGTTCTCACTCTCTGGTTTCATAAAATTTTCAGTTTGGAATATAATTTCCCCCAACTGTTTCATTGCCAAAAATGTTATCATTGTTTCCCTTTGAGTCAGAGCATAAATGGCTTCATCTGATTTGTAGCTGGGGGCAGAATAGTCAGGCAGACAATTTTCAATATTTTCAAAACCATTCTTACAGTTTGGATTTCCAGAAGCCTTTAATATTGCAAATTACTCATATAATTTTTAAAGTCACATTTTAATAAAGATGGCTCTTCATTAACCCCAAAGTTCAACACACGTGCAGCAGAATTCCTAGCTAAAATGAAAATACAATCCAGATGTGGAATTTTCCAAGCAAAAGTATTAATGTTTCATGCACACTGATCTAGAAAAGCAGCCATGTGAAGGTGAAATTCATTTCAGACTGAGAGTCAGCTCTGCCTATGATTCTCTTAAATCTCAGTAAGACTTTTTTGAACTTCTTCCTAGTTATTGCATAGCCTTCTATGCTAGCATGTTTGGAATTTCATTCTGTGTAGGAAATTATTAATTCAAGGTGTTTATGAGCTTTCCCTACAAAGGGCCCAGCTCCACAGTTCCTGGAGCTCTTTTGTCTTCTTCCACTTATCCCTTCCCTTCCTACCCTTATTCCATTTTAATATTTTAACTTTAAAAAAGAAAAGTACTGAGTGTAAAATGCTGCTTCAGAATGCCATTAAGGTAGCAAGGTTAAAAAAATCCTAGAAATACAAAAGTTAATGTTCCACCAGGTGCATTAATTCTGACACACCGCACATACTTTATCTTTTCTTTTTGTTCCAGTTTTTCTTTGCTACATGAATATTTTAGTAGATTAGTTCTGGTACACTAAGATATAGAGCACAATCAAATAGATGTTTTTGGAGAAGGAATATCTCCCCATGCACGACTTATGCTGTGCAACCTAAAAAAATAGTCACGAGCATCAATGGAGCTTTATATTGTCCATAAAATTGGTGACATAAAGCAGTAATTTGGGGCTGGGGCTGTGTTTACTCTGCAGGAACTGTGTTCAGCCCCATCAGGACTTCATAAACCTTGCTAGAAGCTTTTTTCTTGTGCCCAAATGTGCCAGAAAACAGAACAGCCAGCTACATTTCTCCCAAGTGCCCCTTCCCATGCCCTGGCCTTGCCAATGAACAGCTTGATTCTCACATGCACTTTTCAAAGCTCAGGTATTGCCATTTGAGTGCCCCTGGCCTTGCCAATGAACAGCCTGATTCTCACATGCACTTTTCAAAGCTCAGGTATTGCCATTTTCTGCACTCCAATAGCACCAAGTTTGGTGAGATTTTTTCTCTCTGCATCTAAACACACTGAAGGATCAGTCCTGGAACTAATTCATTAGGAACAAAGCAAATCCAGCACAGAATCTCCTTTCTATTGGTACATTTTGCCAAGTTGCTGGTTTTGGGGGTTTTTTTTGTTGTTGTTTTTTTGTGGGGGTTTTTTTGTTTGTTTTTGTTTTGGTTTTTTTTTGTTTGTTTTTTTTTGGTAGGTATGTACCTGTCATTACTTAAACAACTTCTGGCAAACACAAAAATACTTAAGAGTCTGATTAAATGTTTACATCTAGAGCACCTGGAGAAGCCTTTGGGGTATGATCAGCTGTACACAGGCTGCCTGTGAGCTCAGGCTGTGCTTTGGGTCTGCCCCTGCACCAAAACCCTTCAGCTGCCTGGAGGGGCTGCTGGAGCTGCACCCACCCAGAGCCCCTGGGCAGGGCTTCAGCTCTGGGGGCTCAGAGCCCTGGGGCAGCGCCTGCAGGGCTGCCCGTGCAGGTCCTGGCAGCTCAGGGCTGCCCTGCAGTGTGGCAGGTCCTGGCAGCTCAGGCCTGCCCGTGCCAGGTCCTGGCAGCTCAGGCCTGCCCTGCAGTGTGGCAGGTCCTGCCAGCCCAGGGGCTGTCCTGCAGTGCAGCAGGTCCTGGCAGCTCAGGGCTGTCTGGCAGGTCCCGGCAGCCCAGGGGCTGTCTGTGCCAGGTCCTGGCAGCTCAGAGGCTGTCCTGCAGTGTGGCAGGTCCTGCCAGCCCAGGGGCTGTCCCACCCACGTCAGCACCCATGGCTGAGCCCCTCTGGCAGAAGGCCAGAGCCCAGTTCTTTTGAAAATCCTCAATCAGATTTTCTCAAACACCTCTGCCAAGAGCAGCATTCACTTCCTCCATTAATTTCTAAGCTGTCCATTTAGCATCCACTCACTTTTTCCATCTCCAGTTGAAAAAATTGTTTTCATTTCCTCTTCCTGTTCTTAGGGTTGAATTCTATTTCCTGAGAAGTTAAACATGCTTGATGGAGCTCTTTTCCCATCCAAATTTCTTCAACTGGCTTTTTTCAGTTGCTTTGGTTTCAGCACTCACTTCAGGCCAGGATTTTGAAGCCTTCTGTGTCTTGCTGGGGCACAGGCTGTTAGGCAGCATTTGAAGCCAGCTGAAATCAATCAGCAGGGGAAGGGAGGTTTTCTGAGCTGGATAATTACCTCAGCTGTGCCGCAGCCCTGGTGTGCAAGAAGCACAGGCTGCAGCACCTCTGAGGTGTATTTTCATTAGCAGCAGCATCTAAAATCACTGCAGGTGCTGAAGTGACCAGGGACACTTTTCCAAGAGCAGAGCTGAGCCTTGCAGGGTGTTGTGTTTGCAGCTGGGGTGGAACAGCTCCACTCAGCTGTGATTGCTGCCCTGCCTGGGTTCATCTCTGCCCTGAGCTCTGTCCATGTTACACCAGCGCACAACGAGCACGCTGACACCTTTACAAGGGAAACGTTTCTCTGCTTGCAGAAAGAAAACTTTATTACTTCTGTGGAGGGGACCCCTAATTCACAAATCAATTTTATTGGTTCTATATGGAGCACTAATCCTTTTAAGACTTCTGACATCCACTTTTCTGTCATGATGCCTGCTGAAGTAAGAACTAAATTCAGACTCATAAGCCAAGATTATAAAATCATTGGAGGAAACACTGTCTTAAAAAAGCAAAATTCCTTCACCACAATTCACAGAACAAGACAAGTCCTTTAAATGAAGTTTCTCTCTTGTTTCTTGAGCTCCTCTCTAGTCACTTCCAGCAGTACCCTTTGCGTTTTATATAAAAATAAATAAATCCCCAAAACCATGACTAACATTTCAGACTCATGGCTGAAAAACAAATTAATTTAATTGCAGTTTCCTATTTGTTACAAGTAGTA